GCCACTCATTCGTGACAAAATCACAATACAAATGTGAGGTCACACTTAGCAAAATACAGCAACTGCAACATAGATTTCAGTCACAATACCTATGTGACCTCCACTGCCCTCTCTGTAATATGATCACCATCATGATGCTGGATGTCCCCAGTCACTGTGAAGAAGTATAGGGGTGAAGCAGCTCAAGTCCATCACCCTTGCTGGAATTCTTCAGCTGGTTGTTCAGTTTTTAAACTCTCTGTTGGGCTGAGCCTTGTATAACCCCCCTCGTACTGTGTCCCTAACTCAAAGAACCATTCTCTTTCAGTGAGCTCAGGGAGAAATACACAACAAACTATCAATATAATCTGTGGATCAATTCAAATGCTGATAGCTGCTTGTCTAAAACTAAGGCCACCCTTCAGTCCCCTTTGTGTTGAGAAACACTGGCTTTGTTTGCAACAGCTTGTGGTCAGTCACATCCTATTTTTCTCCTGAGCTTCATGGCTGCATCACCCTTGCCCATCTCCTCTGAGCCTTTCCCCTTTGTGGAGTTTTATTGTTCAGTCATACAGGAGTACCATATACCTTTAGTCCAGAATAAAAATGTGGTCAATTTAGGAAATTGAGTTGGGCAGTATCAGTATAACAAATAAGTTTCTCTTTTGGCAGCCAGGTATATCTGTGCACATCACCATGAGTATAATGAAAAAATATGAAACAATTACACTGAGATTCCAATTAGACTGAGATGATTTTTTATTTGATATGGTATTTAGCTGAAGGAACTACGTTTTCAGTATTTGTCAGTTTAAGAACATTTTAGGTTGAAACTGTAAGCTGTAGACTGATCAGAACATACAGTGCAGACTTATTTTTAGGTAGAGTACTCTCAAATAAACACCAACTAGTGTCATGAGCAGCAGAATTAGTCAGTTTTTCTTATACCTCTGTGTCTTGTTGGTGGATTCCGAGGTCTATAAGAAAGTGCAGCTTGCACTGACTTTACCTGTGCTTGCACATTAATACTCTTTCTTTCACACCTGGATTTTTTGGGTGTTTGCCATTTGGGTCATTGGCTGTTTGTTAAGGGGTGAGACCCAAACGGAGATAAAGTAGGAGACATCAACTGTTACCCGTCATACTTGATGTTCTCATAGCCATCAGATAATCCATTTTGTGTAGAACTGGCAGACAAAACAATTTATGGGAGGAAGCTGAAGTGGAGTGGACATAATGGACATAAACACAAGTGTTATATTGAATGGGATGTCAGAGAGCCTGAGAAATGAGTGGTAAGCACTACGTATTGTTTAAGGAGGAAGTGTCATTCTCCACAGGTAGAGCGTAGTAGAGTCTTGTTGCTGCTGGGTTTATTAAAACTTTCTGTTATGTCATTGAAATGGGGAAGAATGTTCTATACATGCTGCTCAGGAGTGGGGAAAGCAACAGTTTCAAGTATTTGGATGAGTTTCTGTGCACAGATATTGGAGAATCTGTCCTCTCATATGAGCACAGATTTCTGGCAGCAGCAGTTACAGGTGTCACTAGTAGCAGCAGCAAAAACATACTAAGTGAAGAATAAACAGATGAATTTTTATTTGCCTCATCATGTATGCGTTATTAATTCAGCCATAGGCAAAAAAAAAAGGTAATTGAAGGGTATGAAATTTTGCTGATAAATTCTGCAGAGAATGCTAAGACTGGTAGCACTATTAAAATACTATCTCCAGTTCTACTCTCTTCATTTCAAGAAAGGTATGAGTATATAAAATAAAATTTACAAAAGAGCTGACCTTTCCAGTGACTAATTTAAATAATCTCTGGGGACAAATTCTACCCAACATTTGGGCAGCCAGGTACAGTGGCTGTTGTCTGAAGTCTGATCTATGAATCTCTAACTTCTGAATGCTCCTGCATAAACCCAACTTCCTTGAAACCTGGAGATGAACCTGCCTTGCCCTCAGTCTGCCCAGAACTCCAGCAGCTCTGCATTAAGTCAGCTCTACTGACTATTATCAAAGTCAGTTTGGCCTGTCTAACCTTAACTCCATGGAACTCTGAGGCAGATAACTGCAGCAGATTTGCCCAAAGAGTTTATTTTCCTGAGGGGTTGCCAAAACATGTCTATTGCTCTTTCAAAAGTCTCTGAAGATCAATAAAACCACTTACTAAGTTGATGCCTTGGCATATTTTCCCTGGAATTGGCAGAGCAAAGGGTCTAAACTTGTGGCACTACATTCAGCTCTGACACCAGTCAGTATCTTTATCCATCACCATCTACAGACTTCTTAAAGAAACTCTACATTGCCTCAGCAGTGCCTTTTGGACAATTGTAGCACAAAGAAGCGGCAACAGCTGGATATCACCTTTCTCCTTTCAACCCTGCAATTGCATGCTAAGGCCATTTTAATGCTTAAGAAACAGTAAAGAATTGGTCAGACTTCTAAACTTGCTGTGTGGTGAATTCAGGCACTTTTGTGTGTTGCTGAGGTAAAACAAACACTAAGGATGTGTTAATGCCAGGTACGATTTTGTCCAAACTTGCTGTCCCTACAATGGAAATAAAGTGTTCATCTTTGAAGTAATTCTAATTATGATCCAGGGCAGAGAAGCTGGTGTTGCATTCAAACAAAGAATTTTGAATTGCAAAGATTCATTAGTGTTTAAAAGTCTCTTATATGGCTTTTCCAGTCTTTCCTTCTTTTCCAGTGCGCAAGAACAAAGCATTCTTACCTCTTGTCTAAGAAACATTTGCTTTTACAGTGATATAAAGACAGAAAACCCAAAGACACAGGAGAATATTTTTTCTTCCCCAGTCCTTAAGGTCTATCAAAAGCCAGAACAGTCAGTGAACAAGCACCTACTGAGAACTGTGGCTAACTTGAAAGCCCAGGACAGGAATAAAGAGAGTTTTGAGACTTTTTTTCTAACTTTTTTACAATCAATGTAATACCTTTTTGCTGAAGTGTGCAAGGTTTCTCACCTTTCACCGAAGATTGGCCACATTTTAAACCGCAGTAAATGCTGCCATCTAATGGTACCTGATCACTGAACAAAAGCTGTCGGCTCAGTCCAGCTCTCAAAGAACAAAATAAATAGTTTCACCTCACAAGCATCACTGTGCATGAAAGAACACAAGTCGGACAGGAGCAGGTTTCAAGCAGAGCCACCAAATATCTCTGCATCCCAAATATCTCTGTGCCCAGTGTGGCAGCTCCTGAGTGCAAATTCCTGAGTTATCCTAAGAAGTCTGCAAACCTTCTCCATCAACGTTTTTTTTCTGAACTGCAGCTGGTTCTGGAAGTAATCATAGAATCATTAAGGTTGGAAAAGATCTCCAAGATCATCAAGTCCAACCTTAAATCAAACACCACCATGCCCACTAAGTCACAGTACTAAGTGCCACATCCACTCATTTTTGGAACATTTCCAGGGATGGTGACTGTTGGGAGAGCAGGATTGTGTGAGCAATTTCTCCTGCAGTTTTGTGGGCCTTCCCTTGACATGGCTGGGCACAGACAGTAAAAAAAGCTGCGTAATCATCATGGCTTCAGGCTCTGAAGCTGAAACAAAGAAGCATCTGTGCCAATATTAAGGAGGAGTCCCAAAAGGTAAACGGTCCTCACCTCACGTGAACACCTGTAATAATCCAATTAGAAGTGGTCAGTAAGGTATGTTTACATTGTAGACACTTTCATGTAACCAATAATGTAGAAGAGCGATCACGTGTGGAGGTGTAGTAAAAGTACATAAAGAGTATCTTTTTGTAAATAAAGTGGACATTTTGTGGATCATATTGGTCATGCGCAGTTTGTCCCGAGCCCCTCCACCCACAGGTGACTCCACCAGTTCCCTGGGGAGCTGAAGCTCAACCATAATAAAGCCCATTCAAACCACACTGTATCAGAACTCTTAAGCTCTTTCCTGTGTCTTTGTTTGCCCTGAAATTAACTTAGATTTAACAATATCTGTCATATTTCATAGTATCTAACACAGGAAATGACAGTAAAAATTAAGTAATTACTTTATTATTCCTGCTATTCTTGGCCTCAAAATGTTAAATCTTTTCTGATTCTTTGTAAAAAGTGAAACATTTTCGGTTTTGTTGTTCTAATAGGTAGCTACTTTTGGAAATTTATATTACTGTGGTTCTACCCCTTTAAGAACAGATTATTTCTTGTAACAAATAAAACTGGATATTCCTTACAGACAGAAACATGTTAAGTATCTGAGCTCTTTATTGAAGAATCTAAACTGGTTGTATTGTATTAGTTGTTCTGAATCCACCACAACGCTTCATCTGAACAACCTAAACTGCAAAAGAAATCAGTAAAACATTAATACTCATTGCTCATATTTTCTTTTTCAGAATCAATCAAATAAATGCTTCCTCTACCTTTTATTAAATGTTGCCTCATATTACTAAGATTACTAGGTAATGCTTTCTATGACATTTGAGTGATGATGAAATTTTATGTACAATGATTCTCAAGATTTTCTGGAAGCAATACCCCTTGTATAACATCCTTTGATTTTGGTAGCTATGATTACGACAATTTTCATACACTGAATGATACTAAGAACAAATTATATACAAACTTTATGCACGGGCAACTGAGGATGATCTGTTAAATCCATTTAGGTGCACATATAAAGACACCTCCAAAATTCTTAAGCATAAGCAAATCCACCCAAACATGCTAGGAGGAGGAACATGAAGGAACAAGATTCAGGATGGGAGAGGTTCCAGGCATAGAGAAAAACATGCAGCAATGGACAGGACTTTATTATATGGACCTTACAGTTATTATATGGACTTCATGGTTATTATGTGGTTTCATGGTATCCACACTACACAATGCACAACCTGGGCATGCTTGGGCTTGCCATGAGTTTGCCTGCTCCCTGCTTTCCTGCTCCCCTCTCTGATAGGTTGAAGAAGCTGCAGAGGAGACAGCAACCATTCAGCCTTTCCTTCCCCGGTTCCTCCCACATTCCTCCCCCTTTTACCTGTGTCCATATCCCGATTTGTTCCCCCATTTGTCTGTCTCATGTTCTACCCCACGTTCTAGCGCTTTCCTCGCCTGAACTGATAAAAAATCCCGTGCACGCCTCAATAAAGCATTCCATCTGCACCCCTACCTTGTCTCCAGACCCATCCGTGCTGTGTAATGGCCACATCTCCCCTTCAGATCGGGTAGAGGAGGATGGTCCCAAAACCATAACAATTAGAGGCTGATTATGCTCGAGTGTCCTGAATGAGCTCTATTACAGAAGTGCAGTAATTATTTCATTTTGCTACAATAAAGCCTAGTTGGAAATACTGGTTATCTCTAAAGAGATATTCATTATTCTAGAGCCTTGTGTGTTTATAAATCTGTGCTTACAACTGATCTTTTACAGATTTCTTCTGTAAACACATGAACTAGGACAAAACTGGCAGGTGGAAAAATTAATCCACCTACTCCACTAGCTGAGAAAAAATTCTATGGTTTGATTTTTCTCCAATATTTACGATATAGTTGTTCAGATCTTAATCATTTTAAGGAGAATTTGCAAATTCAAACAACCACAATACTTGAAGGCTGCCATCATTGTTCTAAATTTAGAGTATTATACTCTGGGATTCACATATTGTCTCCATCTGAAAATCAGTGACTTTGCTTTAAATGTCGAAAATGCTCCAGCTTTATGTGTCCAGCTTATTTGTGTCAGCAACAGCATCATAAAGTCAAGGGAGAGATATGGAAGAACCAGGCCGTGATTTATGTGTCTTCCTGCCACTACTTTCATTAAGCATTGATACAATAAGCCTTTGCTTCTCCTGCGTTTCTTCTCCAAAGACAGCACTGGTCTGTCTGTGACAGCTTAAGAAAGATGTATTTTTGAAAGAACGCTGTATCAAATACCTCCTGAAGGCCCTTTGGATAATAACTGCTGATACCTCCTCTTGTTTTCTCTTAAGAGTGGAAGAAACTGGCTTGTCAAAAATTTTAGATGGATTGGCAACCACAGTTTTTTCCTCCGTTAATAATTCAAGACTATCCAAATCTCCAAATTCTCCCAAGACCCTTTTAGTGAAAGCACGCAAGATATCCAAGTGGTGGATCTTATCTCCACTCACTAGAGGGAGGTCCATGGATATGAGCTGGATGCTATTGGGCTTTGGAATGCGCAAGGGTTCTGCCAGAGCATCTGCAAAGTCTGAAAGAGCAGAATAGTCAATAAACTGTGTTGCCAGAGGATCAAATTTTCCCCAGGTCTCATAAAACATATCAAAGTCATCCTCACAAAGAGGATCTGTGCTTTCTTCAGTGGCAACATTGAAGTTCTCTAAAATGACAGCTATGTACATATTTACAACAATGAGAAATGATATAATGACATAGCTTACAAAATAAAAAATACCAAATGCTCTATTTGTGCAATTAATTTTATCTTTCTCTTTTAAAACTAAGTTGGGAGCACATGTACCAGATTCACTTAACAAAGGGACCAGAAGAGTATCCCAGCCAGCTGACGTTGTAATTTGGAAGAGACAGAGAATGCTACCAGAAAAGGTTTGAAAGTTGAAAATGTTATCAATCCCACCTTCCCAGGGAAGACAGGCAAAGTTTGCCATGCCCACAATGGCATAAATAAATGTAATTAGGAAAAGCAAAAGGCCAACATTGACCAGTGCAGGAAGAGACATCAGTAATGCAAAGAGAAGGGTTCGAATTCCTCTCGCTTTTCGAACCAATCTCAGGATTCGGCCAATTCGCACCAAACGAATAGTTCTCAAAAGTGTCGGAGAGACGAATTTTTGGAAGGCTTCAGAAACTCCAATACCTTTGAAGGGAGAAAGAAAACAAAATGTTGTCAAGCCATACTAGTCAAATTTTTTTCTGCATTGTTATATGCTGTGCTTTAGGTGTCAGAAGTATCAATGACCATATTATACCACTTTCCACACAAACATCATCAATACTACACTTGCTTACAGAACAGTTTAGGAAAAGAAAGACAAATCATAATACCTTTCAATATTAGAGAGATATCAAGATTATGCATAGTTTGGAAACTGCATCCTCCCAGTTTTCTCCAATTCATGGCTGGTGAATTTACACATTCATTGCTCAAGTACTAAAAATCCTTTTAGCTCCCTTCAGCTCCTGTGCTGGAAGCTGTGGGGATTGCCTCCTAGCTGCTGTCTGCTGCTTCTTTACAGGCCTGATCACATGCTAAATGTGAGGCTTTGACTAATGCTTGGTACTTGAAGGAGAGCAGAGGAGACCAAGAGGATTATAACGAAAAACTGTCTTTTGGTATTTATCCCCCATTTCACCCCGTTCTTTGACCCTACTAGCAGATTAAGGGTACAGCAGCAATGCAAATGATTACAAACAGAGGGGTTAAGGAGTCATCATTTTCCTGGGTTGCAGGAGACAGCAAAGGGTTACTGTGCTTAGGCACAAAGCAGAGAACTCAGAGCAGTTTTTCTTTCCTGTCCTTTATTCTGTGATATAACCCGAGCCTGAGTGGGAAGCACAGACCAAATAAACTGCACAAGAAACTAGAGCTATCTATGACCCTTTGTAGAGGAAATGATCAGCATCCAGTCTTATTTGAAAAGCTGAAAAAACCCAAGGCAGTTTTAGTGAGACTTTTCACAGTCACAAATAGTGGCCCAGATTAGAATGGTGCTGAGCAATTACATTTTCCTGAGCTTTCTAAATCAGCAATCAGGATCTGCCTCCTTTAAAGTAGGTCCAGGAAAATCTAAATACATCTTTCTCATTTTTCAAGCAAATGTATTTTTAACATGAATTTGCTTTGTGAAAGTAAAACAACTTACTAGGATAATATGGAAACGGGAAGCATAAAACCAGTCTTACAAAAATTTATATACACTAACTTAGAGAAGATGTTAATGAATTAAATTCCTATTCTGTAAATTACTCAATAAAATGCATACTTAAAGAAAAGTAAAAATTGAAAACTCCATTTATCTTTTAGTCCTGTGAAAAAATATAAAGGAAAACAAGGAAGGAATTTATAAGGAATCACTGAGCATATAGTCTTATTTGAAAAGCAAAAAAAACCCAAGCCAATTTTAATGAGACTTTTCACAGGTACAAATAGTGGTCCAGATTTAGAATGTTGCTGAGCAATTACATTTTCCAGAGCTTTCTAAATCAGCAATCAGGATCTGCCTTCTCTAAAGGAGGTCCTGGTGAAATAAATACATCTTTCTCATTTTTCATGCAAATGCATTTTTTACATGAATTTACTTTACTCTGAAAGCAACAGTTACCATGATAACATGTAAACTGAAAGCATAAAAACAGTCAGACAACAATTTAAGAGCAATAACTTAGTGAATTAGATTCCTATACTATTAATTACTCAAAACCCATATATTTTAAGAAAAATAAAAATTGAAAACTCCATTTACCTTTTAGCACTATGCAAAAATATAAACAAAAATACAGAAGGAATTTTGAAGGAATTCATTAGCATATAGTTTAAAAAAGTACAGTGGATCTGGACTTTGTTTATCAAATATATCTAAGTTTGGCTCAATACTGGTAAGACACATTACCTGATTTAGTGATTGGTACTTACTAACTATTGAAAGGACCACAACACTAAGATCAAATAAGTTCCAGCCGCATTTGAAGTAGTGCTGTCTTAAGGCCAGCATTTTTATGATACATTCCACCGTAAATACAGCCACAAAAAAATAGTTGATTTTTTTAAGAATTTCCTTGGTGCCTTCCTGGTTATTTTCTGCCATCATAACAATCATATTTAGGCAGATAAAAATCACAATGATGATGTCAAATGCTTTGTGCTCTACAATATCAAACAGTAATCCCAGGAATGCATTCTGTGGAGAGAAAAAGAACTGCATTTAAATATTTGTCAGTAATTTGTGCTTAGAACAAGAATTTACGGTAATATAATTTTAACAGTAAGCTACTAGAAGCATTTTTAGGGGATTTCTTTAGATCTTCAATGAAAACTCACAGTTCTTGGCTAAGTATATTCAGGTATCAAGCAAGCACATTGGCACTTATATACACACATCAGGAAAACATCCAGAGTACATTGTGATTGCTCTTTCAATAGAAATACTTATTGAAGCAGATATTTTACCATAAGCAATTCAAATGAAAATGTCATAAGCAAGAAAAACTCTGAATAGTTACTATGAAAAGCCAGGCCTGGAATTAAATTTAAGAAACTAAAAGAAGTAAAGTATAAGATTATTTAAAAGCAAATTACTGCCATGGGGCATGTACTGTGCTCTATTCATTCTCAACTGCAATAATCCAATCTAGTGGCAGAAGCAACATCATGCAATTTAAGTGACCAAGGTCATGGTATTCTTATCAAATACTAATTATGAACCTTTATAAACAGGTTGTACATTTGCATAGGTCATAAATAAAATATAAATTTCCCTAATTAACACCCACAAAGAAAGACTCTTTGAAGAAAAAGAGAGTAAAATGTAAATACTACATTGAATAAAGAAGATGAGGGGCTCCAATGCAAAGTTTATTTCCCTGTGCCTGGGCTACTGAGTTCAAATATGGTCACCATCGTTGTATCTTCTGCCATGTTCTATTTAAGATGGTCTCACCAATGGTCTTGGGATGGGTTTTTGAGGTTTCTTGGATCCAAGTTTTTTTAGGGCATTATAGTACTTTTTCTGTTCCTCAGTCAAAAATAGATCTTTTCCACCTAAGTAAAGGGAAAGAATATTGTTGTTCAGCTGCAGTTTAAGCAGTTCCCTAAATGAATTCCAGCAGATTTCTGTAAAAAAGAGTATGTTACAGCTGTCCTGAGTGGAAACTAAGAGGGCACAGAGACAAACTGTGTCTTCACCATTTCTCCTTTTCCCTTTGATCTTTGAATAGACGTACTGGAAAGAGTTGATCTGGGTCTGATCATGGAAGTCTAGTCTAGGCAGTGTTCCCAAGTCAGTTCCCTCAAGTGTGAGAGCCTTTCTGAAGCTTTGCAAATCTATTTCATACTTTAAAAATTACATACGATTCATCAAGAAGGGAAATACTTTCTATTTTTGGGGAAGGTAGAAACAGAAGAGTATTGCTGGACTAGCAGTTAAATAGAGGATGATGGGACCCAGTTCTACAGGAGGTTCCTGACAATTAATTTCTTATTCCCATCTACACCCCCTGTATTACTTATCCCCATCTACACCCTCTGTAGTACTTAGCAATCCCTTTGAACCCAGGATTCAGAAGCCACTCATCAATCCTAAAAGCACTGAGTGATCAGCATTTTGTAGAACAAACACACAACAATGTTCAGTAGGGCATCTGTAATTTCAATCACTCTGGAAAGACCTCTGAAAATTCCATTTGACTTCACTATATGGAATCAGCAGTAAAGAAAGGAAAGAGAATAACTGAAAAAGAAAAAAATGCCAATCACAGCATGTACTAAGAAAAAAGTGTTAGATCCACATAAACTTCCAGTAAATGTTCAGGTTTATGAACTACTTGACCACTGTTGTTTCTATCTGTTTGGATTATTGTAACTGAGACTTTGTTAGAAAAGAAAATTCTTAGAGTGAGGTTGGACTGTTGTTCCACAACCCTCAAATATCCTTTCCCTGTTCAAATGCAGAGAGCAGAAGAATTTCTTGTGGGCTTTATTGCTCTCTCTCTCTACCCAGAGCAGTAACGCTCTGACACTTGGTATATGAGTCAGGCTATGGAAATAAAAAAGGGTTTCTGTAGAGATTCTGTTTTCAAAATGTGAATGTTTATTTGTTTTAAGTCTTCCAAGTGGAATAATTTACTCCATTTTCCTTTCTATTCTGGATAATTTAACATCTAAATGAATCAGGACAGAATTCAACCTGTTTTTGGCTTCTCACTTCTGAAGCTACTCCCTCCTTCCTCCTTCTCCTCTACTCAGAACAAATTAAGGACTTGGCAGGAAAAGAGAATTTACAGGTAAATTGCTAAAAGCCTTGAAGAAAAGGGGACTCCTGTATGCAAAACGTGGCTTAAAGTGTTATTATTTTTAATTTGTCCAGTTAAACAGTTATTTCAAAATGTTAGACATCTACATGTCAAACCAGCATTCATTTAAGCAAATTGGGATTACAGGAGACACTGAGTTAGCTCAAGTAGTACTTATCTTTTTCCTTTGTTGGTTAAAATTGCTGATAACCACTCCAACAAAAAGGTTCAACATGAAGAAAGATCCAAAAATAATGAAAACCACAAAGTATATGTACATGTGTAAGCTTGCTTCAAACTTTGGCTGTTCATTAATCTGTTAAAAAAAAGTCAAAACAGAAAAATAATATTGGTAAAAATGAGATAATCACAGCTTTACCATTTCCAATTTATAAAAAGAGATCCTTTTATTGTCATGAGGGATAAATTATTTCCACACATTTACATCTTAACCTGGATGTAAAAGTAGAACCACTCTCTTGTTCTATCTTCTACTGATTGTAAAGATAGTGACAAACAGAGCTATAGAGACAAATCCAGCTTCAGCCAATTTTTAAGTAATAAAGAACCAGTTCCAATCAGAAGGGATCCTGTGAATGCCCTGATTAAAAACAACAACTCAGACTAAACACAATGGTGACCAGCCATCCTCTGGAATGCTGTCCCAGACAAGAGGCAATTCTAAAGCCCCAGCTCACTAAGATCAGCCCTACAAGGAACAATCATGTTAATCAGCAGCTATTTCACTGCAGTCAAGAGCACAGAGACTGAAGGAGTGAGAAAAATGTAAATTCAATTAAACATAGAGAAGTTAAAACACACTGTCCTGGTAAGAGAGTGAGGAACAGCACATGCAAAGGGGGAAGAAATAGTGAGGATGTCAAATCTAGGGAAGAAAAACTCCTGAAATAACTGCTCTAGCTGCATGCTTTTTCAACTCTCCTGTACACGTTTAAAAAGGAAGAAAATTTGCACAGTCCTTCCAAGAGCTTCTGTATTCTGTTTCCAAAAGAGACTTGCACAAAGCTTGCAACATCTTCTTCTCTGCATTCCTGACATAGCAGGCTTCTGTGTGGTGTCACTCTACTTTGACCAGTTTCTTTTGTCTAAGTTCCAGATATTTGGTACTCCAAGGATTATTGTTTCACTGTGTAGTTTGATGCCTTCAACCACTTGTATTTTTGATTTGATATTGCAAACAAAGCTGAAAAAGTAATGACATGGATGGAAAAGGGAAGAAGAAAAGGGAAAAGAACTAAATTGTCATTTTAGGGACATACCTCACGGGAATCCACTGCTGCATACATAATATCCATCCAGCCTTTAAAGGTTGCCTGAAAAAAAAAGTATTTTTAAGCTTGTTATAGTTTATATATATATATATATATATATATAGCACTAATACAAATGTGTTGATAGTTGTGGAAAATGAGCAATGTGCTATAAAAAATGTGCATCACATTTAAAGATCTGTTGGGAAGGATGATTCACTGGAGTTTAGTTAAAAGAAAAAATACTTCTTGAAAACTAAACAAAAACAAACAAACAAACAAAAATATTTACTAAAACAAAAAAATCATGATTCATGTAAAAAGTGTCTTAATGTTAATTCTTCTTAAAATAAATTTTTTTTGTGAAAAATCGCAGTAAAATTTTGAGCTCAGCTTGCAAATATAATGTAAAAGGATGAAAACAATTTCTGAGAAAACAGCAAACAATTCCTTCCTGCAATTTTTAGCAACTCTCCAGAATCACAGAATACTTTGGAGGATCCAGGGCATAGAACTTCAGCTAAAAAAGATACAGGGATAACAGCCAACTTAAAAATTGCCTTTCTCTCCTTTGTTGTCATGTTAGGGAGCTCAATAAATTAGTATCCCAATCCTTCATGACTTCTACAGGAAAAGAAAAGATAAATAAACTCTGCCCTGATTTTCTTTCTCATCCACTCTGAACGAGAGAAAATGAGAATATTTTTAATTCAGTAACCTGCAGACTATTTCAGGCTTAGTGTGTTAATCAAAATTAAAACAACATTGAAAAGCCATGAAACAGAGTTCTTGATTTTATGAGTTCTTGAGCATATGCTCAAGTGTTACTTAGGAGGAACTGAGCAGGTCACGGTCACCAACAAGGAAAATATATATGGAAGCTAAAATATATCCCCAATTTCACTGGGATAAACAGAAGCATAGAGGTGTCCCATGGTTGGGCTGCTCAACCCATTTCTTGAAGAAAACAAAACTGAGAATGTTTTTATAGAACTCACCACTTGGAGCAGAGCCAAGTATCCTATCCCAACATTATCAAAGTTTACAGGATAATTTGTCCATTTTCCACCATGAGACTCACAATCACTTCTGTTATTAATGAGACTGATATTTTCTTCCTGGAGTATGCACTTTGAAAATCTTTTCCCAAGCCATTTGACTCCTAAAATGTTAAATAGGAGCCAAAAGACAACACAGACGAGCAAAACATTGAAGATTGAGGGGATAGCTCCAAGGAGTGCATTGACAACAACCTGAACAAAATGAATGAAAATAATAGTGAATTTTATGTTGTCATTTTCAAAAACATCTTCAAATGCAGACGTTACAAAATATTCACACCGACCCCCAATATCTTTACCTTTATCCCTTCAAATCTTGACAAAGCTCGTAGAGGCCTCAATGCTTTAAGAGTCCTGAGAGATTTCAGGCCACTCCCAGAGGAACAACGTGCCTTGCCTTCCGTACCAGGATTTAGTCCCCAGGAAACAAATGACAGCTGTGTTCATAGAATTGGAACTGGGATTATTAAATGGTAAACAAAATTTCCCTTGTTTGAGTTAGCAAACAATCATTACCTGAATGGTACAATATCTTTGACCATTAAGTCAAATTAAGAAAATACACATTAAATTCAAAGTTATTGTAATTTTACTTCATTCTTTTCTAATATATATATGTAAAAGGATTTCTTCATTCTAATTTGAAATGGGGGGGTAGTTGTTTTTTGGTTTTGTTCTTTTTTTTAACTGTTCATATATTTTCATGATGTGGGCGTTTTACCCCAAAAATCCAATTTCCAAGCTCCCCCCACATTTTACCTCAACACCAAAGAGAAGTTTTCAGACAGGCACACCTCAGTATGGGGGAAGGGAATTATATACAATTTATTACTATACACAATAAATACTATAGAAACTAAAAAGCAATTATATATACAGCATTAACACAATCTCTACCACCCCTTGGGCCCTCCCACATCAGTTCAGGAGAAGCTTGCAGGGTGATAGTTAAAAGTCTCTCTCTCATTGGGATATCAGGGAAGGGGTCTTCTCTTGCACCCCCACCAGCCCTCAGCTCCTGCTGAGGTCTCCTCCTGGGCTGCAAGGGAAACACTCGCTTCACCAGGTCTTCATCATGAAAAGGTCCAAGGAGTCAGCTTTTGAGTCCTTTCTCCCTGGTTCGTGAAGGTTTCCTTCCCAGAGAGTAAGATGTTCCGTTCTCACTCTCCGGGTTGCAGGCTTCTGGGTCTCGCTCAGTCTTTTACCCCAAATAGTTTTCACCAAAAGTTCTTACTCAGAAAAAGCCTGCAGGTTTGGGTTCCTCTCTTAACTGCTGCACCTTTCGGTTTTTGGCTTCCCTCGTCCAAACCTCGCTAGGGCCTCCCCTGAGCCTCCTTGGTCCATCTCCAATTCCTTCAGCCTGGAGTTCTTCCAGCTTCTGCACAGATCGCAGCTGCTTTCTCTGGGCTCCGGACCACCTTCTTGGCCTGTCTCCTAGCTCAGCTCCAGCACCAAGCCTTAAGTCCACGCCACCGCCTCCCTGGGCAGTGGGGCAAGAAAAAGAGCCCCCTAGTCTTGGCCACGGGTACTCAGTCCAGTTATAAACTGTTCCAAGCTCCCCTCAGCCTAGCCAGGGCAGGGGGGGGGAGGGCCGGGCCCCCTGCATAGGGGGCCAGAGGCCTCTCTCCTCTCACCTCACGGTTACAAGTCTCTCCCTCACAACATACACACACTACTACACACTGTGTCCAGCCCTGGCCAAGCCAGGGCCGTGGGGGCACAGGGGTCCCCTGGATTCAAGGGCCCCTGGCCACTTCTGGGCTTCTCTCTCTCTCTCTCTTAGACACTCTCACACTCTGCCAACAGCTTCTGGCTGTTGTGATATCTAATTTCACATGAGCGAAAGAACACCTGCAATTGGTCTCTCAGGGGAAACTCTCCTAGGACCAAACACTTCTAGCCCTTTGTTGGGGGGGAGGAGGCCGCTTAACCCATGGCACATGGCTTTCCCCTGTTTTGGAGAGCACTGATATTAAGATTAGAAAACTGTAATTGCTGAAGTCATGGTACATATTCTTTATAAATAGCTATAACATTAGACCTTTCTGTTGAAATTTCCTACTACTTCACAACTTTCAATGCTGACTATTCTGAAGCCATCAAACAACTACTCTGATGTTACCATCAGTCCTCTGTTTACATGTCCTTTTTTCTAAATATTTAACTTCAGAATCTTCCCAGTGTGATGTTGACAAGCAGAGATGTTCCACTTTTATATGGCAAGATTATAAAAATTGATATTGTCTGAATTCATAAGAAATATGTAGGAATTGAATACTGCACTTATCTTACTACTGGTGTTTTCAACATGTATCTTTATAAATATGCAAAGGATTGCTGGGATCTCTCTTTTGCAAAACAAAAAGTACTTTCCTACATCTTTAACATTCTGGTAAATGATTTTTCCAACAATACTTTTCAACTCCCTTTACTATCTAAGTTCTTTGCCTTCAAGAAGCAACTCTACGTTTTTTTCTGTTTCTAAATGCCAAAATCACAGAATCATAGAATGGTTTGGGTTGGAAGGGACCTTTAAGATCATCTAGTCCAGAACTGCCAATAGCTTCTCATTTTTCTATTGTTTTAAGTAATTTATTTTAGTTTTGTTTCTGATCCCTAATTGAACTCCTTCTCTCCACTTGAAAAAGTTTTTAGAGCCATCATGGTCCTCAATGATGGTGATACATAATAGAATTTTTTTAAGCAACTTCTCGTTATTGCTGAAAATTTCCATTTAAATTTGCCCTAAGGTCTCTTTAAATTGCAGATTTTTCACCTTTTGGAAACTGTCTATCACACTTGCAGTTATTCATAATCAGAAGTTACATGTAGTTATCCAGATAGAAAATGTCAAAAATCAAAATGTATGACAAGCTGAATATAATACTTACACATACAATGACAAAATCAAGCAAACACCAGGAATCTGTGAAGTAACTGTGCAATCCATAAGCTACCCATTTCAGAAGCATCTCCATCAAAAAGATGTAGGTAAATACTTTGTCGGCATAATCTAGGATCATTTTCACTGTTTTTCTATTCTGCAGGTGAATATCTTCAAATGCCTGGAATTTCAGAATTCAGTTTTAAAACAGGTCAGTAGTTGTATGGAAAATTACTGTTAAATTGCACAAGAATACACAGTTTGTCTTATTACAACCATTTTCATATTAAATTATGGGCAACCCTTAGTTTTATACTTAGAAGTAAAAAATTAAATTTTAAAATAAGTACAATCTCATTTTCAGGTTGTTGAAAAATCACATACTTTCAGGTTTCTATGTTTGACACTTTAAAACATGTCGGAGGATGGGCAATCGTGGCTACCCAAGGTAGTTGATAATTTTGAAGGTGTTGGTCTAAATTCTTCACAATAAATCCTGACTTAAACACATTAACCACTGTCTTTCAGACTCTGACCTTCCAAATGAATCATCTTTAGTCAGCCTGCAGAGTTGTAATACACACATGAAAAAGATATGAACAAACTCCTTATCTGGAACTGTTCATTCCTGGAGTTACAGGTTTTTTCACCTAAACTTGACCTTGAGGTTTTAGGAAAATATTTTATTGATTGCTGCTGTTCACATCAGTGTTTACTTGTGTTTAATGCATTTGCTGCCTTGCTAATTAATTTTAACTTTTTGGTATTGCCAATCTACTCCCAATTCCTTTCACATCTTGCATTATTTCCTCACCAAGCCTCCACTTCTCCCCTACCCACTTCATTGAGGTATTAACAGCAGACCTGATTTGCTCCCCTGCACTTAAGACATGCCTAAAAAAAACGGTCTAAAAGGCCATGGAAAAGGTGAAGGAGGAGCACAGACCACTGAAAAAACATGGAGCAGAGATGCTCCTATGTATAATGCAATAAAACTTATGCACTCCTGTTCTGCAGTGTTAGAAAACAGTGCTACTGCTTCTGGACCTAAGGGGTCTTCCAGTTATGTCACAATTAGGAGAAATGCCTCCAGAGTAGAGCTGTCCCTGTGTCCATGGGACTGTTCATTTGAGTGTGGGTAAATGAGAACTTCTGGCATTCATGTACATAAACCTATTTGCCATTTCTGACCTCTTTTCTTGAGCAAGTTTGATGTGTCCTCTGATTCCCTGCTAAACCTTGGCTACCTTGATCTCCATCTACCAGTCAAACCACCTGTTCATTAGCAGTGATGTTTTTTCAAACTTCGAACTCCTTTTTTTCTAATTTTTAAAGTGTCTACCTACTCTTATTTGCTGCTACCTTAAAAAGTTAGAATCTACTTAAGTTCCTAACTACTCTTCCTTTGCTCTGAACAGTGAGCACTCACCATGGACTTTTCTGTGCATTCTTTCTGTCATCATCATCTCATTTAATTTCCTTTCAAGGCAAGGACACCATGGTGTCCCTTTGTTCTAACTGGTTCAGACAATTCCCTACCAGCATACAACTTTATAAACAAAGAAACACAACCAAACAAAAAACGGACAAGTTCCTTTTTGCAAGAGGACAACAGTATCTTAGAAATGTGAAAGTTCTCATTGCTAAACATCTTCAATGACAAGAAAATGTTGTTGTTTTGTGTAATTTTTGCACCTGGGTACCAATTAGCTTTGTGTTCAACTTAGTCAGAATCTAGAGTACATTAAAGAACAACTCAGTTTCCTTCCTTACTTCAGCTTGGTTCCACATGAATAGACAGGAGCCCTCACAGGAATCCCAGGGATTTCCCTTGGAAACTTTGCCATGGGAATTTTAAAGCAGATAGTTCAAATCTATGGTTCAGTGAACAACCTGAACTTAACGTACACAGAGCAGATTTTATTTGGAAAATTCTGACATTTACCCCATAGATCTCTTTCAGACTATTTGGTTATGTTCCTTCTGCATTATAAAAAACTTCATTTAACAAACTACTTTCAGTTGACAGTGAATATGCTTTCAAATCATAGAAATTCCCTTATTCTTGAGTAGAAATGAATCTGATCAGGGTAGCAACAAAACATTACCTCACGTATCAGTTTACAGCCAACTTCACTTTGAGATTCTGATCATAATGTTTTAAAAATGCTTTAAACATTTAGAGGTGCTATTATTTTATTTGAAAGTGCAAAGTAATTTCAAAAACTGGTTTAGCATTGTAATTAACACACAAGTGCAGGAAGAACTATGTTTCATGAAAAACTACAATTCCATGTAGTTAACTCCATATATTTAAATATCTTAGTGGGGGAAAGCCTTATCAGTGTTAAGGGATACATTTACTACATTCTTATCTCTCCGTGTGGGAAGGAAGGCCAGAGCAGAAAAATCAATTAAATACTATTATTTTCCTTTACTGACAAAAATCGATTCAAAATTAGAGAAATTAAATGCAATTTACCAGTGCTGCACTGCTCAATACTATTACAAATATCATAAAATATTCAAACCCGCTATGGTTAACAATTCTGTAGCAGGTTTTCCTGAAGTTCCACCAACTTCTGCCTGGAAACTTAGTGATATCCACTACACAACATGGGAAACGTTGACCACAATCTGAAAAGAGAAAGAACAGTATATTGGTTCCATGGAAAATGCTGAAACATGAAATCGAAACAGTATAAGACATCTTAAAAAGGGCTTCTACAGACTAGAGAAAGAATGTGCTGTTTCACCTATGAGGTGATGCTGTGGTTGAAATGATCTTAAGCTAAAGAAAAGAAAAAACTTGTATGCAAAATTAATCTCTTATCATAGAGCAACTCGTACATGGGAAAAAGAGAGTTGCTTTTGTGCCCTTTTGCAGGAAGGCTTGTGGGCACAAGAAAAAAAGACTTTACTTCTAAAAAATGCTTATTTTCTACATTTTTCCTTTTTGTTTTAAAAAGAGATTGTACCTTACTAGTGGATTAGTCAATTATTATTTTTACTGATTATTACACTTTTTTGCACTGCAGAGACATTACAACTCCCTGTTCACTGCTTTGCACCAGAAACACTCTCCATGAATCTGTAAAGGCAGCAGGATTGAAGCACGAGAGTCAATGGAGTCTAAGGAGATGGTCAGGTAATCAAAGGCAGATGTCAACACTGGGATGAGCAGGAAAACAGATTCTGCTAATTTGGACATATTCCAAGTGGGTACATTTTAACACTGTTTCATTTGGTGTTAGCACAATACAGAAAAGATTCCTACTTTCTCCAAAGCAGTCCTTAGGCAGGTGTGAGTTTTTAGTCTGGGAAAACCTCTCCGGACCAACAGCTGCATCCACACTGCTGGCTTCAGAAAAGCTGTGAGCAGCACCACATTTCTGCATGGGAGAAGGAGAAAGAGGAGAATTTATTTGCTTTTCATTAAAAAGGTTAAAAAAAAAATAAAAATGAAATTTATCATCGCCCTGCCCCCCTCCCCAAAAGAATTCTGCAGTCTATAAATTACCTTACTGTTGCTGAACCACCAAAATGAAATTACAAATAATAGGACAGAAAAAGTCAATTCCTACTCTTTGTTTCCACGGTTTTAATTTAATAAGTTTCTTGGTTTCTTCTAGCCATCTAAACAGGACATGCAGGGGAAAAAAAAAGACTATACTATACTGCAGATTTGGAGAAAAGTCTGACTTCAGGTGTGCTAGATGCCTGTTGAATGTCCCTGTTCGGCCGCATTTGTGGTACTTGTTTTGGCACAAACTCGAACTACATGAGGTGCGGTTTGAATTAGCTTTGTTACAAAAGAACAGCTGCTTAAATACAATGTTTAAATCGTGATCTCTCAATCACACTAGGGTACTCCACTGCACATGTCAGATAGAGTACTTGGAACTACAAGTCCCAGAATGCTTTGCAGCACTTTTCCTGTAATATGAATCCCTACATTCAAGCCAATCCAATTCTCTTTTCATTTTCAGAGATACAAACCTTGTCTCAAAAGGCTTGAAGATGGGAAGGCCTAGCAGGATAGAAACGTATGTATGGTCTACACACCTCAAAGAATTGTAATTACTGGTAGGTAACCTACACACTTGTAAAACTAAAGACAATAAGGAAAGAAGGTATATGGAAAAAAGAGTAAAGAAATCTATCAACCATAATGTGTAAATGCCCTGAATGGCATGGAAAGGGAAGGTATGAGGATAGGGATAAGAATGGGAAGCCAGAAGAAGCCATGACAGCCATGATGCTCTACACTTGTCTAAGGTCCTAAGGAATCTTCACCATATACAAAAATGCAATTATTTAAATTAATGGGCACTGTAATGTTTTCAATATTATTTTTAAATATAAACACATTTCAATAACATAAACAAAAAATCTGGCAACTGTGCCTAAAACCAGAAAATGCTAATGGGATTTGACTTTTGGGGGTAGTAATCCAGAAAGATGCTGAACTTCCATTTAATTTGCTGGGTCATCAGAGCCATGATTCTCCACCTTTTTCTGATATGGAACATTAGAATGAGATGAGTTCCTATATCAGAAAAAGCATGGTTGCTCAGGGAACCATTTCTAGACAGCACATTTTTGCATCCAGGAATGACAGCAAACAGAATTATCCATAGAAACAAGTAGCATGTATCATGCTTAAAGTCATGGTGTTTCCTGCTTAATTTCTGTTTACTTATTTTGTACAAAATTATACATTAAGTTACACCATTAACCATGGCTATTGATGAGACACAAACCTCCATGCTATTACTGTCTCTAGAGAGATGTGCCACCTCCACAGGTATTATACTTACTACTCTTCAGAAAATCCTAACCTGTCCTGTCATTGCTGAATGAGAGAACAGCTGTGAGAATTTGAATCTCTAGCATATTCCACAAGATGATAAAAGTTACAATTACCTCTTTTTGCTCTTGCTTTTCATGTGTTGCTGTGAAAACATTTATAGTTTCAGGAGTCCCAAAAATCTGACTGAAGCTGCTTGAACTCTGTCGCTGTTCTTTATGCCCTAATCTGCCTCCCTGCAGGAATAATGGAAACTAGTTGATTTTCCACATTTTTCCTTCCTGACAGTCTTTCTTAAAAGTCAAAATTCTTTTACAGAATCTAAAACATCCACAAGAGCTAGAATCATAGAATCAGTGAATCACAGAAGAGTTTGAGTTGGAAGGGACCTTAAAAGTCAACTAGTTCCAACCCTCCTGTCATGGACAGATAATCTTGTATGTTTGTCTTTTTACAGATAATTAAATGATATCTCGAAAATGCTTGTAATAGAATAGTTTCTCCCTCGATTTCAAATACTGTGCTCCTGAGGTTTTACTGTGGAAATTCATCATTCCCAAAGAAGACCTAAGTAATCCAAATCAGTTCTCAGTCCTTTGTCTCCACAAATTCCAAGAAAGATCAGATTCCACTGCAGAAGTTTTTGTCATCAAATGCTTCTGGATAACATATTTGAAATGGTCACAGATGATTCTAAGGTGATCGGCAATTTTTGCTTCTTCGAAAATTTTTCCAAAGATATTTCATTGGCAGTGCTTCCTAATATGACCAAAACCATAGGAAATGGATCCTAGCAGTCCACCTAGACAGGGACCACTGGAGACATTCCAAACCTACCCATATACAGTCCTCTGTAACCTGCTTTAGGTGACCCTGCTTTTGCAGGGAGGTTGGACTGGGTGATCTCCAGAGGTCCCTTCCCACCCAAACAATTCTGTAACTCAGTGAAAAGAGTTCCTATAGCTCCTGTGTCTTATCTGACAGTTCCTCATGGGTGTGACAGACACCTGAAATATCTCAAACAGGCCTATGTACGATCATGACAGGATAAATGTCTAACTCACATGCAGAAAGACTGAGCTTTATCCTGCCCAATGCAAGAAAATCACAAGATATAAAGGGGAATTCAAAGTATCAGAGGTGAAAACGTAATTAAAAAAAAATATTTTTTGAGATGCAGCTTTTCTTTCCATTTTCTTTGGATGCCATGCAACTGCAAAGCAACATATAAGCAGCTGAAGAGGCCTGTGTTAGAAACTATCCAAGTGTAAGACAAAGGAGACAAAAAGAAGGAATGTCTGTCTTCATCAAACCTCGTTTATCAGTTGACAGCAATAGATGGAAATAAAACTGACAAAAGCAGAATTAGGGCTGTCCACAAAGAGAATGGTGAAAAAGTGGATATTCAAAATGTCTTTGGAAAATGAAGACTATTTGGTAGCCCTTGCACTAGAAGAACGAAGAAAGTAAAATGGCAGAAATGACAGAAGGGATAATATTTACTGTTGAGTCTTTGAGATGGCAATTACAGATGTAAGTTACATATTTTGTTTTAAATGTGAATAGTTCTTACCTGTTTTCTGTGTTCTGTTTCTGTGAACACAATGTGCTCATCATCACTTTTGTCGCTGTAACTCTCTGCTGCTTCAATGGGAACACAGGTACTGTGACTGCTGGAAAGATCTTTATATTTCCTTATTATTGAGGAATTCTCTTCATTATGGTAACACTCTATGTCAAAGCAATTGTTGTCTATGTATTTTCTGACATCTGTCATGGCATAATTATTATCCTCTACGTTTTTGCCAGAAATTTCTTCTGAAGTCTTCTTTTTGTCTGTTTTTCTGAGGCTTCCTTTCATTTTTCTACCACAAGGATCCAGAATTCTGTCTTTCAAAGACTTCAGGCCCTGGTGAATCTGTGCAAGGGCAATCTGACATTTAGTCCTTTCTCCAGGTTCCTCTTGTCCTCCTGAGGCATCAGTATTGAATGAACTCAGCAGCAGGGCAATGAACAAGTTGAGCACCTTGAAATAATTAAAGTAAGTTGGAGACACCACTGCTAACAGAAAAGTCACTTCAGAAACCCTCAGTCTTGCTTTCCTCAACCACTGCCATGAAATTATTTACTATTATATTGCAATATTGTTATAGTACGATCTGGCCCCTCCTGGAAGGAATGGCAGGAGAAAAAGGAAGGAAGTGAGAGTTTGGGTATATCAAAAATATTTTCACCTGCTCTGATGTCCATAATGTATGAGGAGATAGATATGTTGAAAAAGAGCAAAGATGAATTTTAATAACACCACCATCCAAAAGGTTCTGGTATAGACCAACAAACCAAGCAGATGAAAAAGATTTTGTCTCCCAGTACATTTACATTCCATCTACTATATGTCATACAAACCAGAAAATCTGGGTCTTGATAATACAAGAACAAGCTGATAAGCATTAAAAGCACTGAACAGTTGGTTATTGGATCCTCCCAACACAAAAGATGAAGACATCAACACATTATCAGAAGCACTGCACTTCCATACTGTGGGTAGAGGGAATAATTTGGCATTGCTTCTATCTCTTGTGTGAGAAAGACAGGGGAAAAGTAAAAAAAAAAAAAAAAAAAAAGATAGAAGAAAAACATGTCAAGTGACATCCAGAAAAGAGAATAGTGTGAATACTCTTGAAATGATAACGTTTCCCTCTGAAAAAATTAGTTGCCAGTGTACCTGGATGCATTCAGTAGGGACTGGGAATCAGCTTAAAACTCACCACCAGGTTTCCTATCACCAGGACTAGCAAGAAAATGGTAATACATTTCTGTTTTCCAGCCACTTCCATACATTCCCACATCATTTCAATCCATTCTCCACATAAGATTCGGAATACAATCAGGACTGAATGATTGAAATCCTTCATATGCCAGCGTAAATCCTTACTGGTGCTTATTTTATGGAATTTTTTTTCATAACTGGTGCCTAAAAACTGCATTCCTACTATAGCAAAAATAAATACAGTGATAGCCAAAACTAGAGTGAGGTTACTCAGAGCACCAAATGAGTTTAGAATTATTCTCATAAGAGTATTTAAGGCTGGCCAGGACTTTGCCAATTTGAAGATCCTGATCTGTAAATAAAACACAAGAGAAAACAGGTAAGGTCAAACACAGCCCAGACAGCACAGCCCACATGAAAACCAGACCCTGCATTTACCATGCTGCTTTTACTGCAGTAATTATTTTTCCCCCAAAGAAAGGCTTTTAATTGTTTTGATGCAAAAGTGCTGTGCTTAAGCTCTGACAGTTAACATTTGTGAGAGCAGAGAAGTATCAAAGAAAGGTTTCAAATTGATTGTGCTAAGTTAGATATGAGAATGTGTCAGTCTAATAATCTTAATAGCAATAAAAAGAACACGAATATAAATATCTTATGAGTACATGGATTAAGGTTATGAAATGACTGAGTTTTGGACTAGATGGAATGTAAAAGACATATTTTTTCACACCTCTCACCAAACAGACTTAAAATAGGAACTGAGAAGCCAGCTGGGACCTGCCCTATGTACCCCCATGAGTAAAATGGAGGGATTTAGTCAAATTAGCATTCAGGGCTGTGAAAATCTCTCTGTCATGATAAACAAGGGGAAACACAATTCAACTGCATTTCTAGGTGTGAGGACTCTGAAATACTATGAAGAATTTGAAGTAATTAATCAATTTAGCATTATAAATATACATGAAACACATAAGCACAAAAGTACTATTATACATAGATGTGTCAGAACGACTCCTCTTTCTCCCTAAAATGGAGGAAAGCACGGAAGAGCCCTCAAGGCCAAGACTGAGCCCTGAGGAAAGCTCCATTATTTTACAAATCTCAGCTCAAAAGGAAAAGCTGTGAAGGAATCGTTGCTATCCTTAAGCTCAGGAAAACACTCAGAAAATATCTGCTCCTGATTGTAGCTCTAAAATGTAGTTGAGCAGTGCCACTGTACAGATCTAACAGAGAACCAGTGAACTCTCTGCTGGGTCAGATCTCCCTGGCAGCACACTGTGCAGGGGATTTGTAGCATCCAACATACACAGTATAATAAACATATTGAAAATATTGTTTTATATTAATTAATATTTTCTTTAATTAAATGTTCATGTTGGCTCACTATTTACTAACAAAGAGAACTGATTTGACAGATTCATCAGTAAAATAATAAGAGGGTATTTCACTGTAATCATTCACAAATCTATACAATACATGTACTTTTAAAAAATAGCAAAGAAATCATTACCGCCCGGAAAGGTGACAGGTTGGTCCCAAAGCTCAGTAGGCCAATCAAAACAACTAAGCTATCAAAAACATTCCACTTGTTCTGAAAATAGTAGTAAGGATCTAGAGCAATGATTTTCAAGATCATTTCTAGTGTAAAAATCAGAGTGAAGACCTGGAAAGACAAAAAAGAAATTCAGAAAAAAGTCACTCAAGAACTCTGTCTCCTTATGGGACTATTCCAGTATAAATACAGGGTTATAACTCCATATTCACCCTAACATAGACCTCACATACCTGATCACTTATAGTAATCATTTCTCTGGTTTCTGGCAACATGCCAGGGTGCTCCATAGCCATGAATAAGGTGTTCAAGATAATGCAAACCATGATAAAGAGTTCAACAAATGGATCCAAAATCACCAATTTCACCTTCTCTTTGACTGCTCTCCAGAATGGACAACAATTCCAAACTAGACACTTTAGAGTAAAACGTTTCCACAATGCAGGACATTTCAATTTTGACTCTAGCAGAGAAAGAGGGAAAGTGGCATATGAATAATCCTGTCTGGAATATCATAGTGTGAAGAAAAAGACAGTCAGAGAAAAGATTGGAAAGAAAAAATGAATCTCATGTGAACAGAATAGCATCATTGAAAAAAACCCTGCTACACAAACTAATCACAGGCTATTGCAGGTCACCATCAACAAATGTCATAATGACAGAAACAGGGGATATTCCCCACCTCTTCATATGTTTATTATTCGTTCCTGTGAGGCTGGGGAGGCCCTGGCACAGGTTGCCCAGAGAAGCTGTGGATGCCCCATCCCTGGGATTGCTCAAGGCCAGGTTGGATGGGACTCTGAGCAACCTGGTCTAGTGGAAGGCGTCCCTGCCCATGGCAAGGGGTAAGAAGAAAATGATCCTTAATGTGCAATCCAACACAAACTGATCCATGATTCTATGATTACACTATTAAAGGATGATAAAGGATCTGCATTAAGGAGAGAAATCACTGTTTCTGGGACAATGACAACCTGTTTCCTGTGAGTTGAACCTGCCCAGCCACAGGTGTCCATAGCTGAGGACAGGGTTATAGGTGAGGTTGGAGGAGAGCTCAGGAGATCTGTAGTGCAACTCCCTTCTCCAAGCAGGGTCAGCCATCAGGTCAGAGACTGCACAACCTGTTCCTCTGAAAATGGGCAACATTTCTGCTTACACACACTTGGAAATTCTCTTCTTTCAATCAAGTTGGTCAGGTATGATTTACCCTTGGTAACTGTGAGTTACAGACACAATTATATGAGATATGAGAATATTTGTTTTCCTGAAATGTACATTTGCAGCATAATTTCCCCTAATGGTTTTAAAATAATGTTGAGTGTTTGAGACAATTTAATCTCTCAGGTCACATTACACAATCCCATAGGAAAAACAGGAAAGAATGACTTACTCGAATTATCTGTCAGAATAGTAGCTGCACTCATTAACCTCTGTCTTCGGAAAGGATCATTAATAGAGTCCACTGACACATCATAGGACAGCAGGATCTTCCTCTTTGGTTAGAAAGACAAGAGAAGATAACATAGCAAGGGAATGTGAAAAACTGGCAATACAAAAATTATGTCCAGCATGAGATAAATATGCCTTTTTAAATAGACATTGAAGGGAAACTTTACTTTGGTGACAATATATAAAACAAAAAATACAACGCTATCAGATCTTTGCTTTAGAAGGCAAAGGGCATTTCATCAAAACCAGTAAATTTCTTCATGAAGTTGTTTCCTTCTGAAAATATTTAATAACAATAATAATGTCATTGTAGAAGAAGCATAGAAACATTAACGTGGCAAGGGAAAAGAATCCTTCCAGACAAAAAGAACACTGGCCATCAGTTTGAATAAACTGTTGCCTTTTTAACAAAGAATTATTGATAATCAAAAATAAACATTTATTAATATGAAAAATAGACATGTAGTTAATAAAAATTATTATTGTTCCAGCACTACCAGGCCTATCTAGATCTCTATTAATACTAAACTGCTTAATACTAGGAATGGCACTACTTTTGTTTTCATTAGAAGCCACAGAATGTTCAGCTCAGCACTCCTGATGTGAGCTCAAGTACAGACAGGCCAACACTTGTATCTTATGGGGATACACTGAATTATTATCAAATATTCAGACACATTAAAACCCACACACTCAGGATTAAGTAGAGAATCATAAAACATGGGCTAAAAAGAATACATGAGACTCTGAGGTAGAGAAAATCAGAAAGAATTCCAGAGAAAGTGAAAACGGGTATATAAGTAAGGATATATCATACCATTACTTCAAACTTTTTTGATATTATGATTTTTGTTAACATATTCTAGAAAGCTGTTATTCAGGGAATGAAACTGATATTCTTGGCCTCAGGGGTTTCATAATAATTATTTCTCTTTGTCATTCTGATATTTTAATGAAAAACTTAGCTGATAGAACTGTCATAGAAGGGACATATCAAATGAATTTGTAATATAGAGCTAAAATGCTCATTTTTCTCTCTGTAGTTTTTCTGAGTCTAAAAGGCTCATTTAGACTATTCTAAATGAAAGTAGGGAGTACATTGTTTGAAGAGTCCTCAGTTGCAGGAGAGACACCAGTAATTGCCACATTTGTTGTAGATTGTATTTATTTGACTAATAAAAGAACTTTATGTCAGAGCATCTCACCCTGTTTGGATTATGCTCTAGGTCTTCCTTTCTATTTTTTTCCTTTTATAATGTGAAAATATTTCAATATGAAATCATAACATGTACTACTGACAGCAACTTCTAGCTTCCCATTCAAGTCCAAATAGTGCTGTCTCCCTCACATCCCAAAATACAATTTTCAGATTGCTTTAAAAAACAAGTTACTCCAATGAACGCAGGAAGGAGGAAAAAAAAAATCAGAGAGGAAAAAATGCAAACAAAGAAAGCTTTTCTGCTCAGTGAATTCTCATATCACACCTAAGTTTAATGAATATATTTTCTATTTTGAATACTTACAAGCTTCTTGTGGCAGTGACCAGGCTGTGAATGAAATATTTGCTCCTCTCTCTCCTGATCATCTAAAACTACATTTTGTCTTAAAATAGGTGTTTCTCTATTAATCTCTTTTCCTTTCCAATTTTTGAAGTCAGCAACTGGCATTTCAGACCCAACCTGCAAGGCCTTACTGCTTTCTGCTGCAGCCACCTCCTGTAAAAGAAAAGGCCAAAGGTCTGTTTATTAACACAAGGTAAATGCCAACACATGGAGGATAATATTAAACTTAATTTTTACTCTATTAAATTATTATGCTGGCTGAATGCTGAGAAACTTGGTAAAATGGTGATGCCTTACACTTTAATGTGCTGCCAGGCAATCCCAAATCTTCATTTGCGAAGCCTAGGCATGATGATGACACCTCAATGATGAAATCGGATACTTGCTAGAGGATATTTGCATGGCCTCTTACAAATCTGACATTTTTGACTGTAAGCAGTAAATCAGAGGTATCTGTTATAAAAAGTTACAAGATACAATAGGTCTCACCAATAATTTTCAACCCATCCTGCTGCCTTGGTTTAGAGCTTCATTTCTGGTGGATGAGAAGCTTGAGATGACCCAGCAGCGTGGGCCTGCAGCCCAGAAATAACTGTGTCCTGGGTTGCATCACGAGAAGCATGGGCAGCAGGTCAAGGGACGTGATTCTCCCTCTCTGCTTCCCTCTCATGAGACCCCACCTGCAGTGCTGTGTCCAGCTCTGGGTCCTCCCAAATATCAGCAGGATATGGACCTGCCTAAGGGCACAGAGATGCTCCGAGGGCTGGAGCACCTCTGCTCTGGAGACAGGCTGAGACAGTTGGGGTCGTTCAGCCTGCAGAAGAGAAGGCTCCAGGGAGACCTTAGAGCCCCTTCCAGTGCCTAAAGGGGCTCCAAGAGAGCTGGAAAGGGACTTTTACAGAAGCAAGTAGTGACATGACAAGGGCTAATGGTTTTAAAGGGAGAGAAGAGAGATTTCAATTAGATGTTATGAATAAATTCTTTCCTGGCAGGGTGGTGAGGCACTGGCATAAGTTGCCCTGAAAACCTCTGGATGCCCCATC